CTTGCACTTCTGGGCCAGTGACTCGAGACTCGACTTGGACTTGCCTGTCTTTGACTTGGGACTTGACTCGGACTTGAGGTCAAAGACTTTAGATTTACTCGAGACTCACAAAACAACAACTCGGTCCCACCTCTCGCAGATACAGGCGACCGAAATGAGTTTCCTCCGCAGGGCGTCCGGGCGCTCCCTTTAGAAATCGGGTCACACGGGAGGAGCTCGGAGTAGAGCCGCTGCTCCTCCACGTCGAGAGGAGCGGCTGAAAATGTGCACTTTAAATCCATTTTGTTTGTTTTTTTCATGAGCTTTCAGACAATCTCAAGACGTTTTTTTGCTGCTCGTGTGTGCATTGTGTTTCCGCGGTAACTGCTGAACACCCCGCCACAGACGTACATGTAGAACTCCCCCCGGTACGAACACAGAAACACAGAAGCAGGAGTGTTTTTTGGTTTAAAGTGACGTTTATTGTTTTAGTGCGCGGTTACTGCGAGTGACAAAGCTTCAACTCTCGTCATTCAAACGGTTCTTTTCTACAAAAAATACCAATCTCCAGGTTCTGTTCCGAGATTCTCAGAGCCACATGCGAAACACGAGGCGCGACTTTGGATCACAGCGCTTCCCCCCGGCTCTTTGGTTAAAGCTTCACCGCGGAACATTTCCAGAGGAGGGTCCGGGTCTGTGGAGAGGCGCTTCTACTCGCAGAAGGAGTTATTGTATTTTTGAGCAACAGAAATCATGAGTAAATGTAAAATGTAAATGTTTAAAGTCGTATCACGGAACATTCCAGGCAAAGCTTTAAGTAGATCGCGAACCCTCCACCAGAAAAGTTACACAGTGCGTCTTTAAGAGCAGGTTTTAGCAGCCAGACGACAAACAAAACTTGAAAATGAGTAAAATTCACAATATTTAAAGCTTCTTTTGAGCGAAGTAAAACATATTGAGTTGAGTTGGATTCTTGAACTCAAACTCGTCTTTTAAAGCTTTCTTGTGGGGGTCTGGATGGACCCTCCACCTGAAAAGTTACACAATGCAGCTTTAACAAACAGATTTATAGATTTGCAGCGTTTTGAGCCGAGGCAGCGGGTTTCAAAGGCACGTTCACGAACACACTGATAAAGCTTTTATAACGGTTTTAAGGCCACGGAACTTTACCGAACTTTACCTAAGCGATTGCAGTCATAGAGCAAAAAACTAAACTAAAAAAAACAAACAAAAAAAACAAACATATTTACTAGTTTTACATTTGATTTCCCCGTTCGATTATGGGTCAGAATTCACGTCGATGTCTGAGGACGTGAGGCGTTTCAGATGAAAAATAAGGCGTCTCTTACAGCTTTGGCTTTTACAGAGCGAAGATGGAAGATCACGAAAGAGGACGAAAGATTTCAGAAAGATTCGTGTGCGTAAGATAGAAATCGGTGCATATTTGTCTGTAGCTGAACCTAAAATAAATATTCGTAAACTCTCAAATTAATCTAGTCGTACGTAAAATGTGTTGTGTGTGTTTTATCCGTCAGAAAACAAATTGAAAAGTTACGACGGCAAGAATTACAATTACAATGAAAATTTACGATTTCAGTTTCTCCACAGACGGGATTTTACTGTCAAAAATACGACATCACTTCAGAGGCAGAAGAAACATCGATCGAGATGCTGCACACGGACTGAATCAGGACTAAAATAGGACTAAAATAGGACTACAATAGGACTAAAACAGGGTTAAAACAGGACTAAACCGGAACTGAACTAGGACTGATCCCAGAACTGAACCAGGACTGAACCTGGACTGAACCAGGAGGACTAAACCAGGACTAAACTAGGACTAAAACTGGACTAAACCAGGACTGAAAACCAGGACTAAAAGGACTAGGACATAAACCAGGACTAAACCACTAGGACTAAACCAGGACTAAACCAGGCTCTAAAACCAGGACTAAAACCTAGGAAAAGGACTAAACCAGGACTAAAACAGGTCTAAAACAGGTCCTAAACCAGGACTAAACCAGGACTAAAACAGGTCTAAAACAGGGTCTAAACCAGGACTAAACCAGGACTAAAACAGGTCTAAACAGGAAACCAGGACTAAACCAGGACTAAACAGGATCTAAACAGGACTAAAACAGGACTAAACCAGGACTAAAACAGGTCTAAACAGGACTAAACAGGTCTAAACCAGGACTAAACCAGGACTAAACCAGGACTAAAACTAGGACTAAACCAGGACTAAACCAGGACTAAAACAGGTCTAAACTAACAGGACTAAACAGGACTAAACAGGTCTAAACCAGGACTAAACCAGGACTAAAACAGGTAAACCAGGACTAAAACAGGTCTAAACCAGGACTAAACCAGGACTAAAACAGGACTAAACCAGGACTAAAACTAGGACTAAAACAGGACTAAAACAGGACTAAACCAGGACTAAAACAGGTCTAAACTAGGACTAAAACAGGAAACTAGGACTAAAACAGGTCTAAACTAGGACTAAAACAGTCTAAACCAGGACTAAACCAGGACTAAAACAGGACTAAACCAGGACTAAAACAGGTCTAAACCAGGACTAAACCAGGACTAAAACAGGTCTAAACCAGGACTAAAACAGGTCTAAACCAGGACTAAACCAGGACTAAAACAGGTCTAAACCAGGACTAAACCAGGACTAAACAGGTCTAAACCAGGACTAAAACCTAACCAGGACTAAAACAGGTCTAAACCAGGACTAAAACAGGTCTAAACCAGGACTAAACAGGACTAAAACAGGTCTAAACTAGGACTAAACCAGGACTAAAACAGGTCTAAACCAGGACTAAACCAGGACTAAAACAGGTCTAAACCAGGACTAAACCAGGACTAAAACAGGTCTAAACCAGGACTAAACCAGGACTAAAACAGGTCTAAACCAGGACTAAAACAGGTCTAAAACTAGGACTAAACCAGGACTAAAACAGGTCTAAACCAGGACTAAACCAGGACTAAAACAGGTCTAAACCAGGACTAAACCAGGACTAAACAGGTCTAAACCAGGACTAAACAGGACTAAACCAGGACTAAAACAGGTCTAAAACTAGGACTAAACCAGGACTAAAAAAGGTCTAAAACAGGCCTAAACCAGGACTAAACAGGTCTAAACCAGGACTAAAACAGGTCTAAACCAGGACTAAAACAGGACTAAACCAGGTCTAAACCAGGACTAAACCAGGACTAAAACAGGTCTAAACCAGGACTAAAGTAAAAACAGGTCTAAACTAGGACTAATCCAGGACTAAAACAGGTCTAAACCAGGACTAAAACAGGTCTAAACTAGGACTAAACCAGGACTAAACTAGGACTAAAACAGGTCTAAACTAGGACTTAAACAGGACTAAAACCAGGTCTAAACCAGAACTAAAAACAGGTCTAAACAGAACTAAAACAGGTCTAAACTAGGGACTAAACCAGGACTAAACCAGGTCTAAACCAGGGACTAAAACAGGTCTAAACTAGGACTAAACCAGGACTAAAACAGGTCTAAACCAGGACTAAACCAGGACAGGTCTAAACCAGGACTAAAACCAGGACTAAACTAGGACTAAACCAGGACTAAAACAGGTCTAAACCAGACTAAAACAGGTCTAAACCAGGACTAAAACAGGTCTAACAACTAGGACTAAACCAGGACTAAAACAGGTCTAAACCAGGACTAAAACAGGTCTAAACCAGGACTAAACAGGTCTAAACCAGGACTAAACCAGGTCTAAACCAGGACTAAACCAGGTCTAAACCAGGACTAAACTGAGTCTAAACCAGGGCTAAACCAGAATAAAGGACTAATGCTAAACTAGGACTAAACCAGGACTAAACTACGACTAAAACAGGTCTAAACCAGGAGGTCTAAACCAGGTCTAAACCAGGACTAAACCAGGGCTAAACTAGGACTAAACCAGGACTAAACCAGAACTAAACCAGGACTAAACCAGGACTAAACCAGGGCTAAACTAGGACTAAACCAGGACTAAACCAGGACTAAACCAGGACTAAACCAGGACTAAACCAGGACTAAACCAGGAAACTAAACCAGTCTAAACCAGGACTAAAACAGGTCTAAACCAGGTCTAAACCAGGACTAAACAGCGCTAAACCAGGACTAAAACAGGTCTAAACCAGGACTAAAAAGGACTAAACAGGACTAAAACAGGTCTAAACTAGGGACTAAAACAGGAAAAAAAACAGGACTAAAAACAGGTCTAAACTAGACTAAAACAGGTCTAAACCAGGACTAAAACACTAAACCAGGACTAAACCACCAGGTAAAACAGGTCTAAACCAGGACTAAAACAGGTAAAACTAGGTAAACCAGGACTAAAACAGGACTAAACTAAACAGGTCTAAACCAGGACTAAAACAGGTCTAAACTAAAAACAGGACTAAACTAAACCAGGACTAAAACAGGTCTAAACCAGGACTAAACAGGTCTAAACTAGGACTAAACCAGGACTAAAACAGGTCTAAACCAGGACTAAAACAGGTCTAAACTAGGACTAAACCACGACTAAAACAGGTCTAAACCAGGACTAAAACAGGTCTAAACCAGGACTAAACCAGGTCTAAACCAGGACTAAACCAGGTCTAAACTAGGACTAAACCAGGTCTAAACCAGGACTAAACCGAGTCTAAACCAGGGCTAAACCAGAAGTAAACCAGGACTAAACCAGTGCTAAACTAGGACTAAACCAGGACTAAACTACGACTAAAACAGGTCTAAACCAGGACTAAACTAGGACTAAACCAGGACTAAACCAGAACTAAACCAGGACTAAACCAGGACTAAACCGGGTCTAAACCAGGACTAAACCAGGACTAAACCAGGACTAAACCAGGACTAAACCAGGTCTAAACCAGGACTAAACCAGGTCTAAACCAGGACTAAACCAGAGCTAAAGCAGAGCCAACTACTGCTTCATGACATTACAACAGAACAGAGAATTTGGAGTTTTGGAGAGTCACTTTTGCGCGGTATAAGACCA